CGAGCGACGACGACGACGGCGCGAGGCTTGCTTTCTTCTTAACTCTTTAAGAGCTACAAGAAGAGCAATTATATATATACCCACCAAAAATATCTTCCTCTTCCAATATGGGACAATGTCTCATTGTTAAGAGGGGGAAACTTAAAATTTTACTCAAAATTTCATTTTCCCTCCATTTCCCATTCACCTTCATTTTAAGAATATTCATCTTAAAATAAAAACCTCAACAGCTAATTTCTTCGTAGGAACCCTAACATCATCGTCGTCGCCGATTTCTTCGGCTCAATCTGCTTGAGCTTTTTCTTCAAATCCTTATTAAGACAAAAACTTGTCCCTCCATTCCGGTAACGTCTCTTCTATTTGATTGCTTAAGCTTTTTCCGAACTTCATAGCTTTCAAGATAATCCAATATACACAAAAATGTAAGGTTAGGGTGAAAATTTGAGAGGAAATAATGATTCGAAATAAGGTAAGTGGGAATTTGAGAGGAAATTATCACACAAAGGTGATTGCAAATAAGGTTAGCGGGAAAATAATCACAGAAAATAATCAAATTGAGTTCAGCCATAAAGTTTAGCAGCAGCGTTTAGCAAAAAATTGTGCTCTCTTTTGTGATTGGTTTTGGGAGAATATTTTAGAGGGTTCAATTTACTCTATTGAGTATTGTTGTAAATTTCATCTCAGATATGATTCTTCTACCTTAATGGTGTGAAATTTGATTTATCCAATTAATTATTACGGCAATGCTTGTGATTGATTGTATAAGCAATTGTGACCGTATATATTAGAAGAAATTGTGTGCTTATTTTATGTTTTTCCCATTTGCTGTAATTTGAAAGAAACTTTTTAATTGTTCTTGTTTTTCATCAATGGTGAAAACTTGAAGAAGAAGAAGAAAGTATGAAGATGAAGGCAAGTGGGGTAATTACAAAATAAGGTTAATTTAAAAAGAAAAAAGAGAAAAACTTAATTTTGAGTGTTTCACGCGCCGAGTCACACTTTAGCTGAGAAGAGGTGTCTGTCTGGTCATTAGTATAATTGAGGTGTCCATCTGATCATTGAAGGTAACTCGTTTATGTATTTCGCCTTATTAATAATTAAAGCATGAAGTTTACACATTTCATGACACACATAATGTTGGAACAAACATTTTGATAGTAATCTAACTGTTAAACATTTTATACACGGAATGTTAACTGTTTGAAGGATTGACGTGTGAGTATGGAATGTTATAACAGGAACTACGGAACAATCAATCATTATTGATTCTACCTCTGATAATTTAGCAATTGGTCTCCTCCTACTCTAAAAATCTTGATTTACATCGATTAATTGGTTTGGATATATACAAAATTTTAGGAATTTGCTGCTAGATCCATTGCATCTTGATGGGCTTCCCTGCTTGGGTTAATTTTTTATGACAAGACGCTATTGTCCTTTACGCTTATTATTATTATTATTATTATTATTATTATTATTATTATTATTATTACAAGAAAAATGAAGACAAATACCGCTATATTGACCAACCGTCATGCAAATAAAGAGTTTATATTCTGGTGCACCGTAAGTAAAATATATTATACTGTCAGGTTCATTTTATCTAACATAATAAAGTCAAGAGATTTTAATATCGAATTTAGTATAGCAATGGTGAAAATAGACTAACCATAATCTTGAATAGGAAATTAATCTTGTCGACAAAAAATAGCACGTCTAACTACACATATAGAGTAAAAGAATTTACCCTATCAACAATGTATATAATAAATTGGAAAATAAATATTCTCCCTCTATTTTATTTTATAAGATATTATTTTCTTATTAGTCTATTCCAAAAAAAAATGTCAAGTTTTCATATTTGAAAATAATATAATTACAAACTTCTTATTTTATCCTAAATAATAAACTTTTATAGTCCTATAAATATCTTTCTTTCTTTTTAAACATTATAATAATTCAAACTATGAAACTCCTTCCCTAACACAGACAAAACTGGCCACGTAGACTCCTTTTTATAGGCTAGTTTGCAGCTTGACCCCTCGCCATTGACTTGAAGACTTGAACAAGAAATTCATTGGTGGTCACTTACCCAATTACCAGAAATTCATAGGTGCTGGTATTTACATACTCATTTACTAGCACTTCCTCAAAGCAGAAAGAAAAGAAAAAGCAAAATATAGTTGTCCTAGATCTTTTTATATAAACCCAAGATTTTCCCTTTCCCAAACAATATTCTTCAAGTCTCTACCCCTTCATCTGTTTTCCTACATATTTTTCAGATTCTTGAAAACCACTTTTTTTTCAACATGTCAGACTATGGATCCAACAATACATGCTGCTTTAAGTGCATCCAATTCATATTAACAGCAGGCTTAACAGCTCTTTTCATTTGGCTAAGTCTAAGAACCACAAAACCATCTTGCTCTTTAGAAAATTTTTACTTACCTGCCCTTAACAAATCTGATAACTCCAACTCCACAAGATCCAATCATACACTTTCCTTTCAGCTCAATTTGAACAACAAGATGAAGGACAAAGGTGTTCGCTACGATGACATTAAACTTAGTTTTTACTATGGTACAAATACAAGTTTTCCTATAGGTAATTATACAGTACCTGGTTTTTACCAAGGCCATGACAAGAAAGCAAATAAAAAGGGTATGCTGGAAACTGAGAAAATGCCTTGGAATGATGCTTTAAAGATGGTTTCAAATGGGTCTAAAGTGGTTTTCAGGGTGGATGTAGCTACTAGAGTCAGGTACAAGGTCATTCTTTGGTATACTAAGAGGCATAATTACACTTTGGAAAATAACACACTCAAAGTCGATGCTTCAGGTAAATCAAGTTCACAACAGCTTCATTGTTGTTCTATTGGGCTTCCCCTAATATTTTTATTCAGCTTTCTTCTTCTGTTGTAAACGATGAGTTCAACAATTTTATATTTTACTACGGGACCTAATTCTGTTTTACAATTACGGGTTCAGGTTTTAGTGTTTGTTAACATTCTACTAATTCTTTTAATTATGTACTATCAATTTATCCGTTTAAACTGTCGGTACAAACTGAATGTAGTTGGTGTTATCTTTTCTTTTTGAATTTATTCTATATAAATTTTGAGTGGCTTGTTTTATGTGGTAGATCTATGATCTTTTTTCTTGGATATCATCGTTTTTACTCATTCTGTTTACTAGGTTAATATTATTCATTTTCATATTTGATAAGTGGCTATGAAAGAGCCGTGTTCCTACTTATTAGTTTGTTTATTTTTTAGTCATTTATAAAATAAATAACATATTTTTAAATTTAGAAATAATTCAACTTTAAACTTTTTATTTTACACTTTTTACTATTAATGAGAAGTTTTTATAATCACATAAATATTATGGCCCCACAAATCTTTTAGTCTTTAACCTTTTAAGACCATGTATTTCAAAAGTATTATTTTTTAAAAAAAAATTCGTGACGAGTCAAACTAGTAGAAATTGTTGATGTCATAGACCTTTATCTTTTTCTGTCTTCCTACCTTTCTCTTTTTAACGAGCCATATAGGCTTTGGTCCACATTTATTAAAGGGATAGTTTATGATTCGATGCTTTCTGATGCCTTCTCAGGACTATGATTTGTAGAATAATGGTGAGAACTGTCAATACAATTTAATTGTTTGCTTGATAGGCTCAAAAGCTTGGTTGTAGCCTGTGGGTTCCTAATGACCGAAAATAACAAAAGCAATGTGGCCCTAAGCTATTGAATTCTTCATGTGGACCCAATTTCCCAACCTTAACTTGCTTCTTTAAATGCACTACTTTACTACTATTACTTTTTCGTTTGTTTGAAAGTAGATTACCCCTGCCTTGTGAGGATAAAGAAGATGTTTTTAATAGACCTTCAACTCAGGAAAGCATAATCACCACATTAATAAAAATATAGACAAGAAGGGACAGCACCAAAAAGCCATATAAAAGCAGAATAAAAATAATAAGATAGTAAGGTGATCAACAATGAAAGAAAATAACGATTAGTCATAAAAATTTACTACTAACAGAAGGCGAGACTGCGTGTCAATACTACTGTTATGAACACTCTAGACTACCTACTCTACTACCCTAATCCTCGACCTCCATATCTTCCTATCAAGGGTCATGTCCTCGGTCAGCTGAAGTTGCGCCATGTCTTGCCTAATCACCTCTCCCCACCTCTTCTTTGGCCTACCTTTAAGTTTCGGTGGCACCTTCTTGTCATACAAAACACTAGAAGCGAGTCTACATTTTATCCATCCCGCCCCAATACGATGTGTGACATCTTCATCAATCTCCCCATCCCCCTGAATAATAGACCCAAGGTAGTTAAAACTTCCTCTCATATGGATGACCTGTGAGTCCAACCTCACCTCCCCTTCCCCCCTTGAGTCTCACCACTGAACTTACACTCCAAGTATTATGTTCTCACTTTCACTGTTTAAAAAATATTTTTTCAATAAGTATTTTTAACTAAAACAATTATCTATTATGTAATTTTATAATTTAAACGTTCATTTAATTAAAAACATACTATGGTAACATGCATTTATATGTAATAATTCTATTATCTCCTTAACAAAAATTATTTCATTTGTTTTATTTACTGAATATTTTTTTGTAAAGAATAAAAATTCTATTATCTCCTTAAGAAAAATTATTTCATTTGTTTTATTTACTGAATATTTTTTAAAAGAATATTAAAAAAGGTGGCAATAATTTATGTAGATTTTTATTAAAATGTTTCTTATATTAATATCATTTGATATCATTTTATACAAATTCACATTAAATTGTAATTTCAATTGTAACACTTTATAAAATCAGTAAAAAAAAAAATATATTTAAGAATAAAATATAGTTTCAAGTAACTTTATTATTAAAGGATATTGAAATTTGTTCAAATTATATAAAAATAATTCCCTTTATAAAACATGATTTGAGAATAATCTAAACAAAAAATTAAGACAACTAATTTGGGGAATTATTTTTCTTTATTATATATTAGGCAGCATGAGAAGTATTATTGTGTATGATTATACTTCTCCCTCTATGACCAAAGTTAGTTGGGTACTTCCTCTATTTTTAATAAAGAATTTAACATTATATAAATTTCAAAATACATAAATATAAAATTAACTATTTTTTAAAATATGCTCAACAAATAATTATAATAAAGAAAGTGGTACTACACCCTAGAGTATCTCAATCTTTTATTTAAATATTCTTATATTAATATCAATTGATATCATTTTATACAAATTCTCATTAAATTGCAATTTCAATTGGAACACTTTATAAAATCAGTAAAAAAATATATTTAAGAATAAAATATAGTTTCAAGTACCTTTTTATTAAAGGATATTGAAATTTTTTCAAATTATATAAAAATAATTCCCTTTATAAAACATGATTTGAGAATAATCTAAACAAAAAATTAAGGTAACTAATTTGGGGAATTCTTTTTCTTTATTGTATATTAGGCAGCATGAGAAGTATCATTATGTAGGATTATACTTCTCCCTCTATGATCAAAGTAAGTTGGGTACTTTCTCTATTTTTAATATAAAGAATTCAACATTATATAAATTTCAAAATATATAAATATAAAATTAACTATTTTTAAAAAATGCTCAACAAATAATTATAGTAAAGAAAGTGGTACTACACCCTAGAGTATCTCAATCATATAAAATAAAACTAGAAAAAATCTGTGATCGAAAAATTTATTTATTTTTAATGAATTATCCAAATATGTCTTTAACCTAGAATAAAATACACATTTACTTATTATTATTATTTTCAAAAATTAAAAATCATGATTATTATTTGAAAGAACACAAAAAATATTTTTGCATCATCTATTTGGAAATAAAATGAATATATTTTATTATTAAAATTTTGATTAATAAAAAAGAAAAGCAATATATTAACACAATTGAAAATACTAAAAGAGTACAACTATATATTATTCAATTTAAACAATGAGAAAGTACATCATGACTTATTTTTCAACTGACTTTTTAATTATTTTTTTTATAATCAATTTTAAGTTTGGTGGTGCGAAACTATTTTTTAGAATAGAAAAAATGTAGAACCTATGTAGAAATACTCTAACTTGTACTTGAAGTATTGTATAATCTTTGTTATAATAAAGTGTCGGACTTCAACAAGTATTACAAAGTGATTGTAGTAATACGATTTCAGAAAAATTAAAAATATACATAACGCAACATATAAAAAACAATATAGGTAAACATGATTCTATACGTTATCACACAAAAGTCTATTTTCTTTCCTTAAAGACGAATAAAGTGTGTAATTAGCAATAGTTCAAGAAATATAAAAAGGAAGAAAACAAAAAAAATGATGGGCTTTTTTCAGTTTTAGCCCGCGCCAAAAATGTGCGTGTAACTTGCAAAAATAAGAGATTAAGCGGTGGTGGCACATGCTGATAGCTCAGTTTTGACGACCCCCTGCATATGAAAGTTTTTCAAAATTACATAGTACGGAGATAGCAAATTTTCTCACCGGCTGTTTCACAGAAAATTTCAAATTTTCAACTACCCACTTTCCCATTTCATGATCAAAATTATCTTTAAGGGTCATATTATTTGTAAGCATGATTATTCCGTTATTTTTGTTATCATTTTCCCTGTTGATATTCCGGCTTTTTGGTTGTTAGAAGAATTATGGTCTGTTATTACTCACATATTCTATGGAGAAAAGGAATTAACTAATTTCAAGAGTTGTTGTGATTACTGTTTACCCGAAAAATAGATAAAGTTAAATTTATACGTAGTTCTAAAAATACGTGGTATAACGTGGTACAAATTGAAAAAATAAGTAGAAATATATCGAATATTGATTGTAAAAAAAGAATGAAATACAAATTCAAATTAAATAGAGAATGGTCTATTAATGAACAAGATGAACCAATGTTCAAAGCCCCAAAGAAGGATAATGGTTACTATATATGGGTAAATCTCAATAACTTCGGAAATGTGAGAGTGTATTGAGGTCTAAATGCACCCTCTCTTATAAATGGCAATCATTCTAATATAATGGAGGATTCCTACTTTGGATATAATTAAAAATATATAGTGGGATCCCATGATAGATTAATCAATTAGTTTTTTCTTGATTTCTGCCGAGATTCTCTCCCTTAGTGCGGCTATAACGGCTTTGTTGTCCCTTGACTCAAGCTCGATCGGTCTCTAAGTCTCGAGCTCGATATTGACTCGACTTTGACAATGGTTTCAGTATTTGATCGGTCTCTGGGTCTCGACCTCTATCTGGGCTCGATGTCGATCTCGGTTGATCCCGACCTTAGTCGGTTTCTAGGGCTCGAACTCAGCAGCTCGACTTCACGTCATAGCTTGATATCATAATGACGAACCTCGGTCCATCATGCCCCAAAATCAATCAGTCACACGAGGGCAAACTCGATTTTGACCGTATATAGATAGTCCCCTCATTTTTCGGAAAGAATGTGGCGAGAAATGATATGACTTTTCAACCTCTGATTAGATACACACTGACGTCTGCGTTGAACCCGATTGTGACGTACGTGACAAATGTCCCGTCGGTTCAGTTACCAATAAATGCACGTCAGTCGATGGTCGGCCACTGCAAATTTTGAACCGTCATTGTGAAATCTATAAATAGCCCCCTTCCTTTATCATTTTAAACTTTTGCTTTCAACTCTTCTCATTCTATCCTTCACAATTCTTCGTCTTCTCCAAAATTATCTATTTCCAGATTTTGAAAATTTCTTTGCTTGTTCTTCACCAAATACCAAAATATTTCAATTTCCCGTCTTCTTTGTTCTTTGAAAATTTAGATGGCCAAGATATCTAAAACCATTCCTCAAAAAGAGGCTGCTTCCTCATCTCGGTCGGTCGGTGAGAAACCGGTGGTGGAGCCACGCCTTAAAGAACTCATTCCCGGGGGATGTGTTATTGATTCTGATTTTAAAGTTCAATCGGTTGCCGGTCGATGGGAGTCGGTATCGAGATATATATGCTCGATACGAGTAAGTCTCCTTGATGTGGTGACAAAAGATTGTAATTGGGTAGACAAAGAGGTCGTGATACCGACACCGGAGGAATCGACCACTACCC